ACAGCATCTTAAAAAGCAGAGACATCACCTTGCCAACGAAAGTCCGAATAGTCAAAGCTATGGTTTTTCCTGTTGTGATGTATGGAAGTGAGAGCTGGACCATAAAGAAAGCAGACCGCCGAAGAATTGATACCTTTGAATTGTGGTGCTGGAGGAGGCTCTTGAGAGTTCCCTGGACTGCAAGGAGAACAAACCTATCAATTCTAAAGGAAATCAACCCTGAGTGCTCACTGGAAGGACAGATCCTGAAGCTGAGGCTCCAATACTTTGGCCATCTCATGAGAAGAGAAGACTCCTTGGAAAAAACCTTGATGTTAGGAAAGTGCGACGGCAAGAGGAGAAGGGGACGACCGAGGATGAGATGGCTGGACAGTGTCTGTGAAGCAATCAACATGAATTTAACGCAACTCCGGGGGGCAGTGGAGGATAGGAGGGCCTGGCGTTCTCTGGTCCATGGGGTCACGAAGAGTCGGAACAACTAAATGAAACGAAACATGCTATATGTAGGGAGTCCCCCCAGTACACGGGAAATATACATTTTGGGAGATGCCATTTCATTCCCAAACATATAGGCAGTAAACTGTTTCTGTTAGAAGGGATGATACCTGCCGAGATCTGAATACAACCTTGAATTGCTATTAATTACTTTTATCAATACTTTAAGAGTTTTTGGATACAGAAAATTGGTTAAAATACATGCAGTAGTTGACATTATTAAAACAATTATAATTCGTTTAAAGCACTCAATATTTATTAGGTTCTTACAGCTGGATTATTCCAAAATAAAATATTTTTGTCTTAATTTTGTCTTTCTTTTGTCTAAACTCTAGAGTGAACTCATAAGTGATAGAAAGACACACACCCCAAAAACATTTTCACTTGGAATTAAACATGCAGAAGTTAAGAATTTAAGACTATCCACATCTTTCAGAATCATATAATCTTAAACAGACTACTTAAAAATTCAAACATGAGTACTGTCCAAATATTTTGTAGTGAGGTCAGACTAATATATAAACAGACATCTTGAAAAAGGACATGTTTGGGAAGCTCTTCACAGAAATCAATACTTGTGTCCTTTAGTCCTTGTGCTGATGTGCCACTTGTTCTTCTATTGGGGAAACATGAGAAGCTCAGAATCAGGTGGGAGAAGCCCATCCAGTAGCTTTTTACGATGTCAGTATTGATGCTGTTTAAATTGGTCTATCCCTGGCATATGAGATGAGCTATTCATGGGGCACATAAAGAAACACCATGGCTCTTTCTTTCTCCAAGTTTGCAGCCGCATGAAAGGGATTCATGTAGTACACTTTCCAGACATTGGTAACTGAATGTAAATATGAAAGCAAACAACATTTTATGAGAATATTAATGAATATTCTTTTCCTTCTTTTCTTTTCTTTTTTGCAGGCCTTACATGGGAGAAAACATTACGGCAAATTGGATTTGAGAGGTGAGCAGTGCTGAGTGTCAGTTTCCTCTTACATGCAAAGCTGAATTTAGTAGTGCAGCTAGTTAATTTTATACATAATGGTTTTGCATCACCTCACCTCTTCATTCAAACACAGTGAACATACCTTTCCCCATTCACATTTTGTGCTTCAGAATGGATGCTATTCATATGTTAGAGGGAGAAGAAGTTTCAAATTCTGCTAAATAAAAGAAATACTGAGCACATGCTGTGTTGCATTTGATGGTGAGAAAAACAATATGGCCAGAATCCAAGGGAACACTTGCTGACCGCACCACTACTCTCAGCAGAAATAGAATGTGAACTAGCTCCCCTCCTCGGTGTGCATCAAAATATGCTTTGGAGGCCTAGGAAACCCTCCAGAGCTAGTTTTCAGGTGGTACCAAAGACTTCCATGAGTCAAGAGTTCTGCATTTCAACCTTTTTATGTGTTCAGTGTGCTCAAATTAAAGAGGAATTCATGCAAACAACTATATGACTGCTTCAACCACAAGCAAATGTATAAACGTACACTCGTAAGGATTGAATGCTTGATGTTTAAAAAAATTAATTGCTGGATTTAATTATATGGGCTATCACTTAATTTGGCTTTCAAATTATTCAGATGTCAATCTTACATGATATTTTTAAAATTGTGTCTTCATATTTTAAATGTCAATCACAAGGGCGACAAAATGAAAGAGAGCTATTAAATGATAGCAATATTAACTTGTGGGAGCAAGTCCCCCCAAAAGTTGCAGAACAGCCTATGCCTCATGTATACTTAGAAATAAGAATAAAAGTTTAATACAAAGCAGCCAACACCCAAATGTGCAAATATTGAGACTCTAGGATCAGTCTAGCTTATATATGCAGAGCACACCAGAGGCTCATACATTGCAATTCGTGTGTGTGTGTTTTTCCAAGTGAAAGTTGTGTGGCCTGTTTATTGCTCATTTTATATTCAGTAGTACTATATTTCCTAGAAGAATTTCCTGTTCTGATCTGATACTGTCTTCAACTCATCCTTGGGGAAAACATTTTCTTCCCAGCAGTGACTGCAGAGACACCTTCAGCAGTCAATCCTCACGTAGGTCACTGTTGCTGCCCTGCTGTAGGACCCAACAGTCCAAATCCAGGTTGAAGACAGGCTGAGCCACAGGCTATCATATGTCTGGCTGGCTTCTCTGTCCATTCTCTAAGGTTAGTCACCTACATCCCATAGCAAGTGAAGTGAGATGATGACCAGGCTGCTTCTTGTAACCTGCCTACCTGATGGTTTTGGTGCTCTTTGGTCTGGGGTATGGGGAGAGTCAGTCTGGCACACGTGAAAATAATATAATGTGCATAAGGCCCAATTTATTTATCAATATTAGTTAAAAACAAGACTTGCAATTTTCCAAGAGGCTTCCAAAAAGAAATCATATGTATGCCATTTCATTTGCCAGATTTGTCTGCCAAATCATTTTGAACACATTATAGATACTATATCTCACTAAAGTTCCTTGAATGCAACCTTTAATGTTGTTTTTACCTTTATACTCTGTATGCTGCCCAGAGTAGATTCCAAAATCTACCTGGGCAGGGTAAAAATGGAATAAATAATAAATAAATACCTGAAAAAAGGACTGTGGCCAATAAGATCTAGCCTAAACTTCCAATGGTCAGCTGTTGGTCAAGGGTAAATGGTGACTCAAAGGGGAATCTTGTGCTCTTCTAACAGGTGAAACGAATGATACTGTTTTCACACGCATTTGAAAAATAATAAAAAATTAGGCACGCATGTTCACTATGAAGCATGTCTTTATTTAGTGGAGTTTACTCACAAATAAGTACTGTATGTTTAGGATTTTGTTGCACTCATTAAATTATGTTTGATTTCACTTTGAGCTCATTAACTGATTGTAAACCATGGAAATTATTTTGCACTTCAGCAGCTGTGTGGATATCATCAAGAGTCCTTATCATAGTACTTTACCACCCAGTAAGAATTTATATGTTTGTATAGTTTGTTAAGATGATTCAGCTGTTTTGTTTCTTATTATAAAATTTATGTTTGTAAATCTCATAAAAGTAGAGGGACTGCAAGGCTTTGATCTCTGAAGGCTCAGTACTGATAAAGATTCAGAGTTGAGATTGATGTGTTCAAGTCAGTGACAAGGCAGAATAAAATGGCTGGAAACTGAATGAATGTGATATAGAACTAGCAATTCACCTGATGTTCAGGTGAAGCCTGAATATGCTGGAACAATGAATAGCAGAAGCAGAAATATTCAGATGTAGATGGTCTTGTGAAAAGTACATACTGCACAAACTGACTTTCACTGTGTGAACTTTTTGAGGCCAGGGTGTGCCCCCAAAGTTCCTTCATGATAGCTTCAGAATAATCAAGAGTTATCTGTTTATTTAAACATGTTGGATAACTTTTATGAAGCTGGGGATCAAATGTTTGCTCTCAGTGCTTTATGTGATCCCCAAGAGTTTGAGAACTTGTCAACATTGGCCAGAATATAGGATAAAACATGAGACAGGAAATGACTGGGTGTTCACTTCCAGATTTGACTGGGGGTGGGTTGGATATGGGGGCCTGTGACTCCCCTCCCCCACACAAAAGCTTGTTTTCCAGGATGCATCTCCCAGAAGAAAATGCACTTCTTCCCATCCAGGGGTTGTGTTTCTTTGAGGGCACAGCAGAGCCCCCAGCCTTGACAAATGGAATGCTGTAAAGTTCCAGGTCTTGCACCTGGGTTTTAGTATTCCATCATCTTTCTATGACATTGTGCTGGACATACCATCTCTTTTGGCTCACTAGCTCTGTGAAGTGTGAGGCCACTGGATATCTTCTTGACTTCTTACTGGTCCTGGGAATGTCTCCTTCCCCTTGAATGCTTCTGTTTCAGTAGCAGTACATGAGCTTAGGGATTTAAATCCTCACTTAGTTTCTTTTCACACATTGGCCAGTAACCTGTTCAAGCCAACATAACATAACATTATGCTGGCATAATTGCAGGGCAACAAGGGATTGTGCCATGCAGTTGTGTAATCAATTGTGTATCCCCAGAACAACTGTTTGTGAAATGTGCCAGTAGAAGTGCTTTGGGGATTGCACTTCCATCACAGCTCTTGTGCAACTACTGCGGGCGTAACCTCAAGTTGTTTGCATGTAGTTGCACAACAAGATTTTGGCCATTAAGTGAAACAGTGTTTCTAAAATGTAGTAAGAAGATATTTGCCACAAGGCACTGAGATGGCAGGAAGATCCATTTAGGAGGGAATTTGCATCTTTATAAGATGGACTAAAATGTTTATCCGTAAACACACAACATTTAAATTTACAGTAATTGTTGCCTGATAACATTGATTTTTTGGAAGAAGAAGCAACAAGTAGATTGTTGACCTCTTTCTGAGGAACCAGCCTCTCATTTTCTGCTTGCTTTGCAAGTGCATATGTGCATGTGCACTCAAATTCATAAAGGAAGAGGACACTAGAGACATTTATGCAAACTGTATCAGACAAAAAGAGAGACAAAAATCTTGTGACACTTTAAAGACTGTTATATTTTAATATGAACTTTCGTGGATCAAGTTCCTCAGATATAAGAGTGAGTCTATTACTTTCATATTTCTACATGGCCCCATGACCAGGTGGGAATACAGATAATGGACCAAGTGATAATGGTTCTTCAGTAACAAAATAGTTGATCAGATTGTGAATAATGTCAATTATCAGTCTACAAGGTATAATTAGCATGGCTGATGGAAGTGGCAGGCTGTAGGAACCAATTAGGATTTCATACTTGGTAATAGTTTAAGAATCCTTCATTTATATTCTGTTCTTTTTCAATGGGTTTCTAGTACCCTTACACACCTTATCAAAGCTATTTCTCTTTCAGGTCTTGTTTTGTGGTGTTTCTCCTCCACAAAACACTGACCTGCACATCACTCAAATAGCGTCCAAGTAGATTGAAATGTTCTGAAACAGGTATTTGTGTTACCATTCCTGATGTCAGTACTTTTGTGTAGAGATTGGCCTTTTTCTCCTATGTAGAATTAAGAAAGGCGTTGTTGACAAAGGATGGCATATGTCAGTCTCACACTGGAAGTGATATTTGCCACAAGGAGTTGAGAATTACGCTGAACAAGATTTTGGTAATTTTTTTTCATACTTATGGCCGTTTGATCCTCGATTTGTACAACTGATTCTTCAGCCTGTTGAGTCCGTACTTGACTGCGAAATCTTGACAGCTAGATGATTAGGTAAAGGTAAAGGTTCCCCTTGACATTTAGTCTAGTCATGTCTGACTCTAGGGGTTGGTGCTCATCCCCATGTCCAAGCCATAGAGCCAGTGTTTTGTCCGAAGACAGTTTCCGTGGTCACGTGGCCAGTGTGACTAGACACAGAATGTCATTACCTTCCCACCAAGGTGATACCTATTTATCTACTTGCATTTTGACATGCTTTCAAACTGCTAGGTTGGCAGGAGCTGGAACAAGCGATGGGAGTTCACTCCGTTCTCTGGATTCAATCTTATGACTGCTGGTCTTCTGACGTTGCAGGACAGAGGCTTCTGCGGTTTATTTGACAGTTTATTTTCATTATTGTAACACAATGATGGCAATCTCTTATGTTGCATGGATTTTACTGTAAACATGTTTTGAGAGTTTAGTGTGTTCTGTGAGTTTTTTTTTTAAACAAGTGGTAAATTTTTAAAAATTGACTCTATATTCATGAAATGAGTTGTACAGTGACTACTCAATAAAGTAGAACATACTGTATCTGAGATTGATAGATTTAAATGAAGCTTGCACATGTACCAATTGTTTTTCAAAACACTATATGAAGGGTAGCAATTATGTCTATGAAAACGTCTTATACAGTGGTGCCCCGCATGACTATAATTCGTTCCGTGAAAATTGCTGTTTAGCAAAATCATCGTTATGCGAAATGTGATTCCCCACTGAAACCTGTTTAATGCGTTCCAATGGGGAAAATACCTTGCCAT